CATTATCTTTTTTAGGACCTTATCACAAGAAGGACGATTGGCAGTGGTAGAGTAGAACATGAGCTCTATATCCTGGATTAGGCCGACAAGGTAGCTCATCATTCCATCCAGTTTCCAACCACCAAGGACGATTTATGGTTGTGGCATCGACGTCTTGGTCATCCATCCTTTTTCCTGTTTTAACATTTATTTCCTTCTGTTTTTACCAAAAATAATGTGTCTAACTTTCAATGTGAGTCTTGTCAACTCAGCAAACAAACTAGAGCTTCTTTTGCTCCCCGTATTAATAAAAGCTTAGCTCCTTTTTCTTTAATACATTTTGATGTTTGGGATCCATCTCGTGTTGTGTCATTGAAAGGCCATAGATGGTTTGTCATATTTATCGATGATTTTTCCCGTAGTACTTAGGAATATCTCCTGAAAGAAAAGAGTGAGGTTTTCTCTATGTTCCAAAATTTTCATAAAATGCTTTGTACTCAATTTGGGGCTGTTGTCAAAATCCTGCGTTCTGATAACAGGGGTGAATACATTGATTCGGGGTTAGAGAGATATTTTTCCACTCATAGCATTATCCATCAGATATCTTGCACCAATACCCTGCAACAAAATGGGGTCGTGGAGCGCAAGAATCGTCATCTTCTTGACATGGCTCGGAGTATGTGTTTTTCTATGGGTGTGCCTCGGTCCTATTGGGGTGTGGCCGTTCTCACCGCTGCCTATCTCATTAATCGTCTTCCTACTCTAGTATTGCATACAAAAGCTCCTCTCCAGGTTCTCTTAGGGTCCAAGTCTCTGTTTTTCATTTCTTCTAAACTTTTAGGGTGTGTTCTGTTTTGTTCACAATCATTCTCCTACTGGTAGTAAGTTGGACCCTCGCTCTCTCAAGTGTGTTTTTCTCGGCTACTCCCCTACGCAAAAGAGATATAAGTGTTATCATCCTCCTTCTCGTAAGTGGTTTGTGTCTATAGATGTCACATTCTTTGAGTCCCAGTCTTATTTCTTGTCTTCTCCGGTGTCTCAGACATCCCTTCAGGGAAAGCCTTGGTGTGAAGAGATTCTTGTTGTCCCTCTTGCTCCTATGGTGGAATCAATTGTTCAGCCACCATCTATTGCTGAGACTATAGAATTTAATGCCACCAAGGACAGGGAAGGGCAAGTTTATGTCAGGGATAAAGACAGACAGAAAGTTACTTAGATACAAGAGACCACTTTTGCTCACCCACTACCATCTCTTGCTTCTGATAAGAGTCTAGGTAACTTTGAACCTCTTGTTTCTCTTGAGTCTACTGATATTGCTATTCCTGAGAGAGAAAGGGTGTGAGATCTTGTATTCAACATCCCATCTCTAATTTTCTGTCCTACTCTCATTTGTCGTCCTCATATAGAGCCTTTGTGTCCAACATTTCTTCTGTGAGTATACCTAATCATTTTCAGGATGCTCTTGCTACCTCTGAGTGGAAACTTGCCATGATTGAGGAAATGAAAGCACTTCGTCAGAATGGCACTTGGGAATTGACTGAGTTACCTAAGGGCAAACGAACCGTGGGATGCAAATGGGTGTATACAATAAAGCACAAGGCAGATGGTTCAGTTGAGCGTTATAAGGCTCGACTTGTGGCAAAGGGTTTTACTCAAACATATGGGGTGGACTATCATGAGATATTTGCTCCAGTTGCGAAGATGAATTCTGTTAGGGTACTCCTCTTTCTTGCAGCTAATTTGGATTGGCCACTTCACCAGTTTGATGTGAAGAATGCTTTCCTCTATGATGACCTAGAAGACGATGTGTATATGGACATTCCCCCTGGTTTTGAAGATCTTCAAACAAAGGGGAAGGTATGTCGACTTCGAAAGTCATTATACGGTCTCAAACAATTACCAAGGGCTTGGTTTGAGAGATTTACTCAAGCAATGGTGAAGTATGATTTCAAACAAAGTCAGGCTGATCATACTCTGTTTGTTAAACATTCCTCCCATGGCAAGACGACGGCTCTCATTGTGTATGTAGATGATATAGTGCTTACAGGGGATGATGTTGCGGAAATTCTTTTGCTAAAGAAGCATTTGGCAAGTGAGTTTGAGATCAAGGACTTGGGAAACCTGAAGTATTTTTTGGGTATTGAAGTCGCCAGATCCAAGGATGGGATTTTCATCTATTAGAAAAAATATGTCCTTAACCTATTGAAAGAAACAGGGATGCTTGGAAGCAAAGCCTGTGATACTCCTCCAGAGCCTAACCAAAAACTTAGTGATAATATTGGAGGAGCAGTTGTTGATAGGGAGAGTTATCAGTGGTTAGTGGGTAAGCTCATTTACTTATTTCATTCTCGTCCTGATATCGCTATTGCAATTAGTATAGTTGGCCAGTTCATGCATGCTCCTCATGAAATACACTTGGAGGCAGTTATGAGGATTCTGCGGTACTTAAAATCTTCTCCTGGAAAGGGCTTTTATTTTTCCAAACACGGTCATCTTAGTATGGAAGCCTATACGGATGCAGATTGGGCAGAATCAGTAACTGATAGGAGGTCCACTTCGGGGTATTGTACCTTTGTTGGAATCTGGTTACCTAGAGAAGTAAGAAACAGAATGTGGTTGCCCAGGTCAAGTGCAGAAGCAGAGTTTAGAGCCATGGCACAAGGTGTGTGTGAGCTCTTGTGGATCAAGTTGTTGTTAAGTGATCTAGGGATAGATCAGACAGATTCTATGCGGCTATATTGTGATAATAAAATTGCCATCAACATAGCTCACAATCCAGTTCAACATGACAAGACAAAGCATGTTGAGATTGATCGTCATTTCATCAAGGAGAAACTCACTCGTGGCGCAATATGTACTCCATTTGTGAAGTATGGTGAACAACTCGCTAATATCTTCACAAAGGGGGTTGGGAGCAAAACCGTTTCATGATGTTCTTCGCAAGCTGGGGATAAAAGAGATATTCGCACCAGCTTGAGGGGGAGTGTTAGAATATTTATTTCTATATTTACCTTAGCTATAATTAGTTGTTTCCTGATTTTATGTTGTTTCTTGATTTTATGCCTTAGGGCTTCCCTTGTAAGTTATTTTACTTAATTAATATAAAAGTGAATGAAATCAGATTCATTCACTAAGTTTTGATTTTACCTAAACAAACATGTGTTTAAGCGATTGACATGTGTGTCCTCCAAGTGTTCAAGAGTGTCTGCGTCTTTAAAATAAATTGAAAAAATAAGACACGTTTTGAAGGGTGTCGGACATGCGTCCTAAGAGTGTCCAAATAGTGTCGGTGTCCGACACAGACACGACACGGATACATCCTTTTATTAGAAGTGTCTATGCTTTTTAGATGGGCCAACTGAGTATACTATGATGTTGAAGTCTTTTCTTCTTTCTATCTTTCTTTTTATTTTTTATTTATTTATTTAATCTGTAAAAGAATGATTCTGCCCCTGATATCATCATAACCCTTGTTACAAGTTAAGCTATAGACAGATGAAACAATATTGTCCAAAAACCAGAACACAATTTACTCAAAAATATTAGTTATATTATAGGTCAAAATCCAAACAAAAAGGAAAAGAAAAGAAAAGAAAAGAAATATATATTTACAATGAAATGAGGTATATCAGAGCTCTTTCATATAGGAATCCATAATTATACAAGTAACAAAATATGCTGATAAAAAATTATCTCTACAATTGCTTCAATTTACTACTTTCAGTATAATGCATCAAGTCAAAGTGGCCATTTTCTGAGAAGTTACTATCTACATTTATAGCCCATATCCCAAGAAAAAGGAATTTACGAATTAAATAAGATACATATGAGCTATTTGGTTAATCATTATTTAAGTATGCAATTAACAAATATGTCAAAAAAAATTCCATGATTCTGCATTTGTACCATCTACACTTTTTGGTATCAGCCAAGCCAACTGGACCTGGACCATGACCCTCTCTCTCTCTCTCATGCAGAGACACACACATGCACCCACATAAATGCACACACATTAGGGCTCTGTTTGTTTTGACGTAAAATATTTTACACCAAAAAATGTTTTTTTTTTTTTGTTTTTTGGCGTTTGGTTGACACTCAAAACAAAAACATTTTATTGCCTAAAAGAAAAATTTTAATTCAATAAAGTGTCATTTATGACTTTTTAGGGAGCTAAGAATTTTATTTGAAAAATCTAAATATGTTGAAAAGATAGTGAGTGAGAGTCAACTTTATAAACATTGACTTAGGAAATTATTAAAGGTAAGTCATTTTTGAGAAAATGATACAAAAATATTTTTCTTAAAAAATGTTTTACTTGCTTTTTGTTCAATCAAACAACGGAAAATAAGTAAAATATTTTTGACAGAAATATTTTATGTCAAAACAAATGGAGCCTAGGATGTATTAGTGTGATCAGCACATAAACATGCATTGTTGAGGGATCATAACTCTTTTAGTTTCTTACAATTGATTTCTCATGATGTACTCTTTGAACAAAACTCTCCACTTCTCATTACTCCATCAACATCATGTAGAATACTCTAAGGCTCCGTTTGTTTTCAAAGATAGAATGGAAGGGATTGATAGTGAGGGGATTAATAGTGAGGAATTGTTAAATTATTTTTATATAAAATAATAAAAGAAATAAAAAAATTTAAAAAATTAAACATTAATATTTTTTAAAAAAATTCTCAATATATAAAAAATAAAAAAAATAAAAAAATTTATAATCCCCTCACTGTTTTTCTAATACCATCTCTACCTTCTCACTATGAATCTCCCTTTCAAGGCCTTTACTAGTACCAAGGTATTAGTAGTCCCCTCCCCATCTCTCAAAACAAACACCCCATATAGTAGTCCCACCTCACAATCAATCCCAATCCCCTTCCTATAAGCCCAAACAAACGGGGCCTAAAAGCACACAAACACAAGAGTTGTAGACTTCTTTATTGTAGACGATACAACCCCATTATCGATACTGTGAATGGAATATTAATCGAGAATCTATGGAGAAACCTTACCTTGGATATTTCAAGTATTGCTGAGGCAGAAAGAACGACAACCCTGGGGCCTGTTGAAAATCAAACCTTCAACATCATATGGCCGTGAAAATGAAAAGTATAGACAACATCAATTATTCCCAATAAACATAAAGTTTGCCACTTTCTTGCAGCATAGCAGTGACTCTTATATGGAGGAACTGTAAGGAAAATAATGCTTTGGTCCCATAAAGCAAATACTTGTTGGTTATTCATACCTTACAAATTACCTTATTGCAATGACATATTGTCAGTGGGTATTAAGAATTACCTGTAACAGCTCCAGTTGTGCAACAGTATCCAATGAAGATGATAGACCTAAAGATACTTTGTCCGGATCCTTATCCTTTATACACTCGAGAAGGGTTTGCAATCCACCCTGGCCAGTAAAAACAAATTTTAATATCATTCTGGTACTTTAATGACCAAAGAAACTTCTGATGTTATTCATTTAGTTTCAATTCCTCGAAAATGAGCAAATTGTGCAGCTAGTGGTATGTTTGGTTCATTGGAATGAAGTGGATTGGAATGAAGTGGAATGGAATGATCATTCCATCAAAATGTCGATTCTCACCTTTAGTTCACTTAAAAAAAAGAAGAAGAAGAAAAATATATTGCAAATGGAATCATCATTCACCATCATAAGCGAATGGCCATTCCAATAAGGAGGCTACAGAATGACCATTCCATTTCATTCCAGTGAACCAAACATTAAAGTGTTATTCCCTAAATAGAACAGGTTAGACACCATGATATTACATTTTTGTATTTTCCATTAACAGATAAAACCAATGCCCGATAAAGCTGAAGCTCCATTTTATTGATGAATATCAAAGGGGAGGAAAAAATCCATGCTTTAAAAGAGGCTTCATATCACTTGGATTGTGAAAATGATAAGCTATATGCTTTAAGGACTTGAATTACATGACCTTAATTACATGACAAATTAAGGTTGGTCCATTCAGCCTCTTTCCCAAATCGTGAATCCCTAAAGTAGAACAGAAATTCATTTCTCATCACTTTGAATTTTGGTATTGTCATCAACAATTTATCCCCAAATCCTTATGTTGCAAACATCATGGATGTAACTGAAATCATTCAAGGATCTCCTCATCTAAAATAAAAAAGCTAAAGCTGAATAATTAAGTGAATTTCTCTGTGTTAAAGAAATCAAAGTGGATTTAACATTGAAGCTACTGGCCTTTTTCATCTAAAGGAGCTAAATCTCTTTCTTCCATAGTACCTTCCCATCTATAAGAGATGCATACAACTCCGAGCCCTTTTCCCTGAAATCAGCTGGTACACTACTCAAGATGGATTGCTTTTCATCCACTGCAATCTGAAAATGTAAGGGGAGAGAGAGACGAGTGAGAAAAGAAGAAGAAAAAAAGAAGGGACAAATAAAGAATTGGAAATATTATTTCAACTGATTTGTGTAGAAGACATAAAGAATAATCAAAAGAACAAACAAACGTAGATAAGTTGGATTAACTGGCCCCGTTTGGTGTAGCTGTTAAAACAACTTATAGATTATAGCTTAACAGATTATAGATTATGACTTTAATCAGAAGTTGTTAATCTGTTTGGTGTAGCTGTTGGATTATAGATTTAAGTTGCTGAGTAGTGTTTGTTAAATAAGCTGTGAAATAGGCTTTTCAATTAATTTTTATTTTTCGTTTGTCTGCATTTCTCATGAAAAATAATAATAATAATCTATAGTCCATTTGAGTCTTTTTCTATTTTTAAAAAAATAAAAAATAAAAAAATAAAAAAATTTAAGAGTATAATCATAAATTAACATGTCCACAGCAGAAGCTGATAATCAGAAACAATGGGTGAGCAGTTTCTCAGAATCAGCTTTTTTGAGTTAAAATAAGCTGTTAGAATCAGAAGCTGTTTGAAATAAGTTTAACCAAATAAGCTGTTAGAATAAAAAAAAATAGCCAAGTCAATAACAGAAAAACTGACAAGCCTATGAAATAGGCATGCATCACTTTGCCACACAATACAAGGCATAAAAATGTCCTTTAGCAATTTTAAACATGTATGCTAAAAGAATGGAACTCCTATATCGCATACAGAATCTACAACCGGAGGTTCTCAATAAACCATCATTACCAAGCAATATGGAACATAATCAGAATAACTGCAGTAGAAAATGGTGTGCCCGTAGCTGAACCCAAAAATTTATAGAATTTGCATTAATGAAGTAACATTCTCCAACGTGACTTACTATAACTCAAACTTTCCACAACATTCTAATCATACAATGTTTTTAGAGGTAAGTTAGAAATTAAAAAAAAAAAAAACAGCCTTATTGTTAATATTATGTGGGATTTAAAGAAAAAACAACAAAAGACTAAAAAGAATATCACAAACAATTACCAGCATTATTTTTAAATAATCATGTTACCTCAGAATAATATGGTGAGTAGAACAGAATATAACATGGTAGCAACTGAAAATTACACAGTTCACGTAACTCTACAAATGGACTAGAGGGATAAATGTGAAATTGAAATCAAAACTTCAAAGCATCTGCAGTGAAACCAATTATATGCATTTGCAATCCATATACCAAAATGAAGACTAAATTGTATTTCCATTATTGGGTCAAAAATTATGGCTCAGTAACTGAGTTGCTTGTTAGTATTTTAAGTTCTTTCCTTACCCTGCATTATACTGAGAGAGTGATACCTTTAGAGCTTTCTTCACATTACCCTCCATTGTCCCATAGGGCTTTCTTTGTGGAATCCTTAGCAAGTATGAGATGTCCTCCAGAGAATCCTAAAAGAAGTAAGATAGTCTGCATATTATTACTATCCAAATAGAGGAATTGCAGAACTAAAGAGTTTTAATGATAAGGACCTGTATAGCTTTCATATTTGCGTTTGCGGGGACAGCCTTTCTCAAAGCTAGTTCCCCTGTTCTAGGAACTTTTGTGTCTGGTGAATAAAGTACTGCTTCAGAGGGAGAAATAGACCATGAATTCCAAGAAGCTAAAGGTAATGGAGATGCAATTTGAATAAAAACAAGGATCACAGCAACTGCGCTCTCAAAACTTTTTCTTCCACATTCGAAAGTTGACGTATATAAGTTGGTCAGAATTTCATGCCTGTTTTTAACTTCCTGCGTGACTAAAAACCCATTTCAGGTTCAGGAGCCAGAGTTAAGAAAGGCAACATAATATTTCATTCAATTTTTGGGTCCAACATCAGAGAGAGAGAGAGAGAGAGAGAGAGATTACTATCAGTTTTTTATTCAGAACCTGTTAAAACCACCAAATTAATTCTACATGTTACAGCAGGTAGGATTAAATCCAAAGGGAGAGAATAAGATTGTCAGAACATTACTACTGAGCATGAAATGGTTAAGTAGAGCTTACATGTGGAGACAAGCAATGCACAGTAGCCCCCCAAAACAAATGGGAAAATATCAGTCAAATGGTGAATGAGGAAAGCTACTTCAATTCAGTGAAAACTTTTTAAAAATTCAGTAGAAATGGAATGGGGAAAAATAAATTTCAAAGCCATTGAATTTGCCTTTGGGGAAACAAAATAGCCCCCCTTCCCTTTTCCCCATTTTCCGCCTGTTTCACTTCGGGTTCCCATCTGCCAATCAGCCCAATGACAACCACCACTACAATGCCAACCCCGTAACTCCCCCACCCTCCCCAACCCGCAACCCCCTGACTTGAAACCCTAGCCACCGCAACCACCCTAACACCCTCAGTCCCTCTCACTCGCGACACCAAGACACCAAACTTGCAAATTTGAAAGTAAAAATGAAAACCGTGCTCAGCATAAGTGAAAAAACATAAAGCTTCTAGGACAAGAGTGTTACAACTCAACCCCAAAAGCTAGATCAAGAGGTGAGAGTGCCCTCACACTTATATGTTTAACATTACTATAGTACATAGGACTTCACTTCACAAAGAGAAGCAAAACTACCTAAATTCAGCTCACACACCACCAATCACAGAGTGTGAAGCCTCGTAATTTATCAGCGTGGAAGACGATTAAAAAATGTGATACATTTTGAGTTCTTTACCATTTTGCCAAGGGTTGTGAATTACAATCTGAAATGGTTCAACTATCCTACTCATTAACATAACATTATGTAATCTATAGGCAGCAAGAGCCCTCCTATTTGGATATATAAACATATGGGGGATCACAAACAACACTATGCATAACAACTTTCACATACACTACACAATTTCAAATCATCCCCAAATCAAGTGCAATAACAATGATTAATTGTTCAAAAAAATCATCAATTCAAGTAAAAAAAAAATATGAGCAGAATAGAACTAACCATTGAAGGGTTTTTGGCGAGAATGCGGCCAAGTGTGGGACGAATTGGAGCTACTGTTTGTTCTCTGCGAGTTCTCTTGGATCGAATTGAGGGAAGTTGGGTTGAGAAAAAAGGTTGAATTGGAGTAAGGGAGACATTTATGGAAACCCTAGTGTGAGGGATGATGGTGGAGGAGAGAGAGAACGCCATGGACGGTGGTTGGTAGTTGCAGAGATTTTTGGCGCGCCTCATCCAAATCCTATCTATCTGTTACCTTTCTTTCTAGGTGTGTTTGGTTGTGGGAGTCGAAATGTCCTGGGTTGTTCCAATTCGGGTTGTTTAGATGGGTTTTGGACTTTCTATGTGAGGAGTAGGACTAGGCATAAGGTTATTTAATCCGCGAAAATTGCCTAACCTGAATCCTCCACACTTATTTGGGCATTTTGCATAATCATTAGGGTCGGATGCAGGTTAAGATTTTCGTGTTTTGCGGATTGTGAACGGGTTGTGATTTTTACCCAGGTTCACTCCGTATCGCATTTGTATACATTTTTTTTTTAAAATCTGGACCGTTAGATTTTCTTATAAGTGTGTAATCATAATCTTCTTTTCTCTCATCACTTACTTGCAAGTAAACAAATGTTTTGCAGTTTGTTTTGCGTTGCAAGTGTGGAACCCAACAAATACTGGTAACTTGTAGTAAAATGAGCAAAAACGCTTATTCATGGTTATGCTTCTTATTTTCACTAGTTAGTGAGTTCAGCAAACCTTAAAATCAATTTTTTAGAAAAGATGTTTGTTCTATTTTTATTAAAATAATTATAGATTTTGTTTAGCTTATACCTTTTCAACAAAGTGAATGTGAGTCAATTGATTGATCATGACCTATGTTTATGGCCTATTTATTTCTGGAAGTAAATTAGATAAATAGGCTGTAATTTATTTGGAATAAATCATTTAGAAAATAATGATTTCATGATAAGAAACCACTACCACTCACTCCACCTACCACCTCCACTACCACCCACTCCACCTACCACCTACACCTACTCCTCACCTACTCCCAAATCCTCTCATATATAATAGGAATCCTTGTAATATACATAATACACAAAAAAACAATCAATAATATACATCAATTTATTTTACACATCTAAAGGAGCTAAATCTCTTTCTTCCATAGTACCTTCCCATCTATAAGAGATGCATACAACTCTGAGCCCTTTTCCCTGAAATCAGCTGGTACACTACTCAAGATGGATTGCTTTTCATCCACTGCAATCTGAAAATGTAAGGGGAGAGAGAGACGAGTGAGAAAAGAAGAAGAAAAAAAGAAGGGACAAATAAAGAATTGGAAATATTATTTCAACTGATTTGTGTAGAAGACATAAAGAATAATCAAAAGAACAAACAAACGTAGATAAGTTGGATTAACTATACCCCAAAAAGGAAAAAAAAAATAGCCAAGTCAATAACAGAAAAACTGACAAGCCTATGAAATAGGCATGCATCACTTTGCCACACAATGCAAGGCATAAAAATGTCCTTTAGCAATTTTAAACATGTATGCTAAAAGAATGGAACTCCTATATCGCATACAGAATCTACAACCGGAGGTTCTCAATAAACCATCATTACCAAGCAATATGGAACACAATCAGAATAACTGCAGTAGAAAATGGTGTGCCCGTAGCTGAACCCAAAAATTTATAGAATTTGCATTAATGAAGTAACATTCTCCAACGTGACTTACTATAACTCAAACTTTCCACAACATTCTAATCATACAATGTTTTTAGAGGTAAGTTAGAAATTAAAAAAAAAAAAAACAGCCTTATTGTTAATATTATGTGGGATTTAAAGAAAAAACAACAAAAGACTAAAAAGAATATCACAAACAATTACCAGCATTATTTTTAAATAATCATGTTACCTCAGAATAATATGGTGAGTAGAACAGAATATAACATGGTAGCAACTGAAAATTACACAGTTCACGTAACTCTACAAATGGACTAGAGGGATAAATGTGAAATTGAAATCAAAACTTCAAAGCATCTGCAGTGAAACCAATTATATGCATTTGCAATCCATATACCAAAATGAAGACTAAATTGTATCTCCATTATTGGGTCAAAAATTATGGCTCAGTAACTGAGTTGCTCGTTAGTATTTTAAGTTCTTTCCTTACCCTGCATTATACATGAGAAAGTGATACCTTTAGAGCTTTCTTCACATTACCCTCCATTGTCCCATAGGGCTTTCTTTGTGGAATCCTTAGCAAGTATGAGATGTCCTCCAGAGAATCCTAAAAGAAGAAGTAAGATAGTCTGCATATTATTACTATCCAAATGGAGGAATTGCAGAACTAAAGAGTTTTAATGATAAGGACCTGTATAGCTTTCATATTTGCATTTGCGGGGATAGCCTTTCTCAAAGCTAGTTCCCCTGTTCTAGGAACTTTTGTGTCTGGTGAATAAAGTACTGCTTCAGAGGGAGAAATAGACCAAGAATTCCAAGAAGCTAAAGGTAATGGAGATGCAATTTGAATAAAAACAAGGATCACAGCAACTGCGCTCTCAAAACTTTTTCTTCCACATTCGAAAGTTGACGTATATAAGTTGGTCAGAATTTCATGCCTGTTTTTAACTTCCTGCATGACTAAAAACCCATTTCAGGTCCAGGAGCCAGAGTTAAGAAAGGCAACATAATATTTCATTCAATTTTTGGGTCCAACATCAGAGAGAGAGAGAGAGAGAGAGAGAGAGAGAGAATACTAAAAGTTTTTTATTCAAAAATTGTTAAAATCACCAAATTAATTCTCCATATCACAGCAGGTAGGATTAAATCCAAAGGGAGAGAATAAGATTGTCAGAACATTACTACTGAGCATGAAATGGTTAAGTAGAGCTTAGATGTGGAGACAAGCAATGCACAGTAGCCCCCCAAAACAAATGGGAAAATATCAGTCAAATGGTGAATGAGGAAAGTTACTTCAATTTAGTGAAAACTTGTTAAAAATTTCATCTCACACACCACCAATCACTGTGTGTGATGCCTCGTAATTTATCAGCGTGGAAGACGATTAAAAAATGTGATACATTTTGAGTTCTTTACCATTTTGCCAAGGGTTATGAATTACAATCTGAAATGGTTCAAATATCCTACCCATTAACATAACATTTTGTAAACTATAGGCAGCAAGAGCCCTCCTATTTGAATTATGACAAGATATATACAAATATGGGGGATCACAAACAACACTATGCATAACAACTTTCACATACACTACACGATTTCAAATTATCCCTAAATCAAGTGCAATAAAAAATGATTAATTCTTCAAAAAAATCATCAATTCAAGTAAAACAACGAATATGAGCAGAATAGAACTAACCATTGAAGGGTTTTTGGCGAGAATGTGGCCAAGTGTGGGGCAAATTGGAGCTACTGTGTGTTCTTTGTGAGTTCTCTTGGATCGAATTGAGAGAAGAAGGGTTGAGAAAAAAGGTTGAATTTTAAAAAATGTGATACATTTTGAGTTCTTTACCATTTTGCCAAGGGTTGTGAATTACAATCTGAAATGGTTCAACTATCCTACTCATTAACATAACATTATGTAATCTATAGGCAGCAAGAGCCCTCCTATTTGGATATATAAACATATGGGGGATCACAAACAACACTATGCATAACAACTTTCACATACACTACACAATTTCAAATCATCCCCAAATCAAGTGCAATAACAATGATTAATTGTTCAAAAAAATCATCAATTCAAGTAAAAAAAAAATATGAGCAGAATAGAACTAACCATTGAAGGGTTTTTGGCGAGAATGCGGCCAAGTGTGGGACGAATTGGAGCTACTGTTTGTTCTCTGCGAGTTCTCTTGGATCGAATTGAGGGAAGTTGGGTTGAGAAAAAAGGTTGAATTGGAGTAAGGGAGACATTTATGGAAACCCTAGTGTGAGGGATGATGGTGGAGGAGAGAGAGAACGCCATCGACGGTGGTTGGTAGTTGCAGAGATTTTTGGCGCGCCTCATCCAAATCCTATCTATCTGTTACCTTTCTTTCTAGGTGTGTTTGGTTGTGGGACTCGAAATGTCCTGGGTTGTTCCAATTCGGGTTGTTTAGATGGGTTTTGGACTTTCTATGTGAGGAGTAGGACTAGCCATAAGGTTATTTAATCCGCGAAAATTGCCTAACCTGAATCCTCCACACTTATTTGGGCATTTTGCATAATCATTAGGGTCGGATGCAGGTTAAGATTTTCGTGTTTTGCGGATTGTGAACGGGTTGTGATTTTTACCCAGGTTCACTCCGTATCGCATTTGTATACATTTTTTTTTTAAAATCTGGACCGTTAGATTTTCTTATAAGTGTGTAATCATAATCTTCTTTTCTCTCATCACTTACTTGCAAGTAAACAAATGTTTTGCAGTTTGTTTTGCGTTGCAAGTGTGGGAACCCAACAAATGCTGGTAACTTGTAGTAAAATGAGTAAAAAAGCTTATTCATGGTTATGCTTCTTATTTTCACTAGTTAGTGAGTTTAGCAAATCTTAAAATCAATTTTTAGAAAAGATGTTTGTTCTATTTTTATTAAAATAATCATAGATTTTGTTTAGCTTATACCTTTTCAACAAAGTGAATGTGAGTCAATTGATTGATCATGACCTATGTTTATGGCCTATTTATTTCTGGAAGTAAATTAGATAAATAGGCTGTAATTTATTTGGAATAAATCATTTAGAAAATAATGATTTCATGATAAGAAATATATGATTTTATGACCTAAAATAATATTTTAAAAATTGAGGGCCAAAAAAATATTTAAAAAATGGAGAAAACAAGCCCAAAAATAATTTTTTAAACAAAAAGTCTAATCTATAAATCGTCCGCACATTTGTGAACTCTATTCCCACAAACTGCAATTCGCAATACGGGCGGTTACAGGTTCAATTTTTCTTAAACCGCAGAACTGCAGATGGGTCCAAATCGCAAACTAAGCCATTAAAAACTGATCTGCAAGCACCTCTAGTGAGGAGTGAAAAGAAAACAAAAAAAGATAAATTATAAATACACCCCTTCTAAGATTTATTTAAATACGAATTACTTTATGTGGTTTTAGAAATTACATCCCGTCATTTGAAATTTGAAATGTCATAGTAAATAACCTATTAATTGAAATAACCTATTTATTAATGAAATATTAACTCAATTAACAGTTTTTGATGATGTCCTGAGGGGGTGCATTCATAATTTAAACAAAAAAAAAAAGGTCTCCAGTGATGAAAAGTAAAAAAAATAATAATAATAAATATGAATAAAATACACGGTCTTTTGTATCATTTTAGTCTTTAATATTTCAATTGTGCCCATTTTATCCACAACTTATTCAATTTGTGTTTGAATGTTCTCTAATGGTGTTTCTATCCAAACAAAAATGCCATGTTTCTATTATAAAATTTGAATGAAATCAATGTTGGAGACCATTTAAACATAAATTAGATAAGTTAGATATCAAATTAACACAATTGAATTATCGGCAATTAAAATGATAGAAAACACATATTGCCAAGACCAACCTTGTATTTAATCAATTTTCTGCTAGTGGTAAATTGACTAATCATAACCAAGTGAAAATTGAATTTAGTTAAACTATAAAAATTGAATTTAAATTATAAAAGATCTTGCTCGATAGTACTCTTTAAACAAATATCAAGCTCAAAATATTAAGTTGTTACTTTTTTTCGAATATCATAAGAATTTTAAAAGTCAGACGAATGATCATAATAAAAGGTGAAAACAAAGGACTTCTCGTTATTTTTCTATTAATGTAACCCAAACATAGCCTTTGCTATAACTTCTTAGTTTAACTCTTTTTTTTTTTTAGATTTTTAAGGATATCTAACTCTAATCTAATGGACCTAATTATTTCCTTCAAAGTTCAAACAGATTTGGGATTAAAAATTAATATATTGATGATCACCAAGGACCAAATTAAAATGTTGTATTTATAGTTTGATTTGCCTAATTTACTGGATTATTTTGGTACACTATGTTTGGTTTTTAGTTTCTAACAACTGGTTTGAGGTTTTTTAATTTTTCGTATTTTATAATTTTTAGTAAATTTTTTTTATATTTAAGTCATTTTTGTAAAATATAAAGAAATACTAAAATATACTGAATTTATATTTTTTTATATTTAGTAAAAATTTTAAAGGCTTTTTACAAATTTTCTACTTTTTAACTTCATTTAAATTAAGTGGATCTAAAAATTTCAAACAATTAATTGAAATATTTTTTAAAAATTCACTTTAAATCAAAAAATATAAATTTAAAATTCAAAAATTATTTTTAAAAAAACCAAAACCAAAACCAAACATTATTGCTTTAGAAAGAATAAATGCCAAAGTAAAAAGGGCAATTGGTGCATTGGAAGCCCGCACCCAACACAACTGGGCCCTCCTCCATGATGGCTAGCTTTATCATCCATTTTATGCCTTATTCTCCCAACCCAAAGTTATCATTACTATTTTTTAAAATATTATTTAGTGTGTCAAATTTCAATTTTTTAAATTTAATTTTTTAAAAATTGAATTTTTTATTTTTCATATATATTTTTTTTATTTTTAGTTAGGCATTGTTTGGGAACTTGGTTTGGGGCTAAAATAGCCACAAAAAACAAAATAAGCTATTTTAGCCACAAAAAACAAAACATCAAATCCAACCCATAATCATTACAATTCTCTCTCACAAAAAAAGCTAAAAAAGCCAAAAAGTCAAAAAGCCCTTCCCAAACCAAGCTAAAATAGCTCAGGTTAAAATAGGCAAAAAGCCAAAAAGTCAAAAAACCAACCCACTTCCCAAACGGAGGCTTAATATTTTTAAAATTTTAAACAATTTTTTTTTACTTTTTTATATGCACCATTGAAATGTTTTTAAAAAGTAAAATATTTGTAAAAAAATATTTTTAAAAATTAGTAAATATGCAAAAAAAAAATGGAAAATATACTACATTTTCGTATTTTTTTTATATTTTTTGTATTTAGTAAATTTTCTAAAGAGTTTTTTTTATAAAAATTATACTTTTTAAGTATATTTATGTTAGGTGTGTCTAAAAAAAATTTTAAAAAAAATTGCCTAAAATATTAGAAAAATTAGTGAAAACAAAAAAAAAATAAAAAATAAAAAAGTAGAATTTTTTGAAAAGTGAATTATGAAAATCAAAACCAAGCTGAGTGATTAGTCTTCTATAGTGAATTATGAAAATCAAAACCAAGCTAAGTGATTAGTCGTTCTATATGCACATTTTCTTAAGAGGGTTTGTAATTCTTTTATTTAAAAAGTTTGTTTTCAAGTATTTAATATTTTATTTTAAAAGTTTGTTTTCAAGTATTTAATATAAATTTTACTTATAATATTTTGAGATTAAAATAAAAAATAAAAAAAGATAAGCTCTTCATTCGGGTAAAATTTAAAACTCGACTTATTATTTCGACTTATGTTTGTCTTATTTTAATTTTGTTTCTACTTTGACTCAAATTTTCTTACTTTTTAACTCTGTTTCAACTAAGCGATCCTAACAATTAAAATAATAAAGTCAATTTTGAAAAATATTTGTCAAAGGGAAAAATTAATCATTTTTGTTATAAAAATTACAAAATTTTGCTCTTTTTTTTTCTAGATTTTTTCTAAGAAAAATATTAATTTAAAATTTTAAGATCATCTAGTTGAGATGGATTTAAAAATAAAAAAACATTGACATAATTTAAAATAAAAGGTTCACTAAAATAAAAATAAGTTGAACTAGAAAGTTCAAAAAATCAATTCTAAAAAAAAAAAAAAAACACTAAATTATTAGTTTTTACTTCTAAATTATTAACTTTCCAATTTGTAAGAAGGTATATCAAATTCAATGGTTAGGAAGAACTAGCAATGTTCAAAATAAATAAGGTCGTCTAACTAATCATTGTAAGTCACATCAGTTTCATCCATTTTGTGTCTATTTTTTTAGTTGTTCTAAAAACACTATATCAATTTAGGGTTGGTTTGGGATGTCCTAAAAAAGTGCACTTTTTGACTTATTGGTGGGTTTGGGTTGGATTTGGGTTGGGTTTGATGTGATGTGTTAGAGAGGTGATGTGATTTAAATAAGATGATGTGACTTAAATAAGATAGTGACTTTTTGACTTTTTAACTTATTTAATACATGCCAAACTAGCCTTTAATGAATTGGTGTTTGTTCAAAACAAAACAAAAAAGAATTTAATGAATTGGTGCTTCAAAACACCCATGGCCTTGTAGCCTTATGGCATGGAGTGTTAGCAAGGGAGAAATTGAGGTATGAAAAACTAATCAAATAACTAATAATTGATTTTGGCCAATAAAAATAAATAAATAAATTGTTACTTCAAGATTATTAAATAATTACTTTTTTTTTCAGGATCGAAAAGTCACCTAAAATTCTAAGATGGCAACACATCGTTTGGCCTTTGCAAAATAGCAGTGGAAAAAGACAAATTGGAAATGATTACGGGTTGTTTGGTCCTAATCCATACTTTGTCACCACCTATACCAAACCTTCCTTTCATTTTACAAAAACCTTAATTATCAAACACTTTAGTTATGTGATACGTTGATAACCAACTTTTTTTTTTGTCTTTTTATGTAAATTCTGTTTGGTTTCAATTTTCTAAATTCAGATTTCTGAAAATTGAATTTTTTATTTTTCATATATTTTTTTATTTTTAGTAAATATTTTTGAAATATTTTTGTCTTAGATGTATCTAAATAATAAAATATTTTAAAAAATTAATAAATACATAAAAATATAAAAAAATGTACTGAATTTTTATTTTTATTTTTTTTGTATTTTTTGTATTTAGTTAATTTTTTTAAAGATTTTTTTCACAAATATTATACTTTTTAAGTGTATTTCTGTTAGGTGTGTTTAAAAATTTTAAAAAAAAGATTACTTAAAATATTAAAAAAATTTATTGAAAACAAAAAAATATGAAAAATTAAAAATATATATAATTTTCTAAAAAATATTTTTTGAAAACCAAAACCAAACAAGATGAATATCATTTTGTGGATACAAGTGC